GACACATGTCACAGAATGTCTCAATGCTTTATTACTGTGCGTGTGGTGTGTGTATGGACACATGTCACAGCATGTCTCAATGCTTTATTACTGTGTGTGGTGTGTGTATGGACACATGTCACAGCATGTCTCAAAGCTTTATTACTGTGTGTGGTGTGTGTATGGGCACATGTCACAGCATGTCTCAATGCTTTATTACTGTGCGTGTGGTATGGGCACATGCCACAACATACATATGGAGAACAAGACATCTGTGGAGTGGGTTCTCTCCACTCACCATTTTACTTTTTGATTTCATTTTTTGTTGCTGTTTGTTTTTTTGGGACTGGGTTTCTCTGTGTAGCCCTGGTTGTCCTGGAATTCACTCTGTAGACCAGGTTAGCCTTGAACTCAGAGATCTGCCTGCCTCTGCCTCCTATGTGCTGGGACTTAAAGGCGTGCGGCTCTCCCATCCACCTTCATGTGGGTTCCAGGGATCAAACTGTGGTGACCAGGCTTACACAGCAATGCTTTTATCCACTCAGCCACATCACCAGCCCATGTGTCCTAACGCTTTAAACAGACATAAAAAGATACTGTAAAGGGAAAAAAATAGAAATTTGCTGAAATATCTCCGTTTTTTTTCTTTCTGTTTTTTTGAGACAAGTTTTCTGTGTGGCCCTGGCTGTCCCAGAACTCACTCTGTAGACCAGGCCGGCCTTGAACTCAGAGATTTGCCTGCCTGTCTTCTGAGTACTGGCATTAAAGGTGTGCACCACCACAATCAGCAAAACACGTCTTATAAAATAGCAATGCACATATTTGTAATAATTCCAGTAAATAATTTTTCTAAAAATTATTTTCAAATTGATCCTTAAACTAATTCAGACATTTTTAAAGTTGCCCAAGCCAAGATAACAGCATTGTGGGGGGGATCTTTACAGAGAAAAGGATAATACAGAGAACAGACGAGGAGCCTGCTGTAAGCCCCAGTGGCCGGCTGCCCCCTCTCCTCCACTCACCTGGGTCTCTTCAGGAAGGCTGGAAAAGCTGTGGCGGGAACAGGGAAACACAGTGGAGAGCTCATGGCACCTGGAAGGCATCTGCAGGACAATGGCGGTCTGGACAGGGGCTGTGGCTGTCTGTTTTGGTGTCTGAGTCTCATGATGCCGCTTGGGTTAGCCTTGGACTCAGGAGCCTCTTGTCTCAGAGTCCTGGGTGCTGGTTTGTTTCCCCTTGGAGGTTACAACCCATAATGAGGGAAGCTGAGGCAGGAACCCGGAGGCAGGAACTGGAATGGGGCCACAGAGGGCTGTTTACCAGCTGCTCTGACTCACGCCCAGCCAGCTTCTTATTCAGCCTGACCCACCAGCTTAAATAAGGTTTGCAAGAAATACCCCACTGTGGCTGGAGATGGCTCAGTGGTAACAGCACTGGCTGTTTTTTTCAAAGGACTCAGGCTCCATTCCCAGCACCTAGATGGTGGCTCACAACTGTACTCCAGTTCCAGGGAACCCAGTGCCCTCTCCTGGTCTCCACAGGCACCATGTGGCACACTGATCCACATGCATGCAAAACACCTATACACATAAAATAAATTTTTTTTTTTTTTTTTGGTTTTACAAGACAGGGTTTCCCTGTGTAGCTTTGCGCCTTTCCTGGATCTTGTTCTGTAGACCAGGCTGGCCTCAAACTCACAAAGATCCACCTGGCTCTGCATCCCATCCCGAGTGCTGGGATTAAAGGCGTGCGCCACCACTGCCCTGCTTAAAGTAATTTTTTTTTAAAAGTAAAATGGAGTTTGGGTTAGTCTCAGCCAGTAGTCTGTTTTCTTAGCACAGGATCGCCCAGCACACTTGGAACCACATGGGTGTAGGTCCAGGAGATCATGCGGGTTCTAGCCCTCACTGTACCAGTGATGAGTTCATGAATCTATACACAGGCTGCTGATGAGAACACAGTGCTGTATACATGCCAGCTCATGTGACAGAGGAGGGTCTGTTGGGGACTTCACATGGAAGGAAGTCACAGGAAAGTTTCTTCTGCATGTTACACATGAAGGCAACCTGAAAATCCCATCCGCACCCCAGAACCAGCCGAGAACTCAGGAACAGGAAGGCAGAGCCCAAAGCACAGAGGACCAAAGCTCAAGACCTCAGATGTGTGTGTGTGTGTGTGTGCGCGCGCGCGCGCGTGCGTGTGTGCGTGTGTGCACGTGTGTGCATGTGCGGGTGTGCATGCACGTGTGTGCGTGTGCGCATGAGTGTGTGCACGTGTGTGCATGTGCGTGTGTGCGTGCACGTGTGTGCGTGTGCGCGTGAGTGTGTG